AATAAAAAAAGTATATTAGGAAGAACAATTTTGAGAAAACTTAAGTTTTGTTTTAGCAAATTTTGGTACAAGTGATCATTGGGAAGAGTTAATAAATCAGGTCATAATTATTTTTAATTGGGTCTGTATTTGTAATTACTTTTATCTTCCAAGTTCTTATTTGTAAATTTCTCTATTATTTATTTGTAATACAAATTAGGTAGATTAATTACTATTTAATTATAAAGCTACTAGAAATAGGAATATTATTAAAATATGCTATAATGTGAGATATAAATTAGGTAAAATAAATATAGAAAATTTATTTTATTTTATTTTTTATTTTTTATTTTTTTGTTAAAGACCGATGTCACAGTTGCTTAACACTTTATTGTGTTTTTTGTATGTCTATATTAAGACATTTTTTGGTATATTAACAAGTATACAACTAGCCACACGTACAACTTTTGATTGCCTATTTAAGTAGTCTGCCCGAGGGTTCTATACTAGTTGCCATACCTGCAACCTACTAGGAGATTGCCTATTTAAACTAAAATTTATTTTATTAAAAAATAGTGATATAATTCAAGTTGGGATTTAACTCAAGAGAGATATAACTCAAATACAACTGTACAAACAAATTAAAAAATATTCTTATAAAAATTTTTTTGACAAAAAACTTTATTTTTATAATATATTTAAAGATTAATAAATATAAAATTTTGATAAACAGGTTGCCAATTAGAATTAATAATCAAGCAAAAAGAATATGCTTTATATATATTGTAATAGTTATATATAATTCTAGTATTAAAAAGTTTTTTTTTAACTGCTTATAGAATATACTAATAATATAATTAAGGGTTATATAATTTAGCACACCTGCACTGTAACGCACCTATCTGATTAACCAATCAGATCGTAAGATTAGATATAACGTAAAATTGAAAAAATAGTGATGTTTCTAAAAAAACACTTGTAACTCAAAATTTTGACTATGAAACTACCTTTCATATTCTAATAAAAAAAATTCTATACAAAATTTTGGGTTAAAATTTTTTTGTTAAAACATATTACTCTATCTCTAACCTAACTTTCACCCTAATGCTAAACTAACAAATTAATTATTGTTTTAATTTCATATTACACCAGATCTTATAGGATACATCACAACGCATAGGTGCTAAAATATAAAATTCTATAATTAAATTTTTGCTTTTATTCAAACTTTATTAATAGTTGTAATTTGCCTACAATCTTTATTATTTAAAAATATTTTAACTTTTTGAATATTAATATTTTTTAAATAATAAAATTATTTTATTAATACTTGTGTTTTATTCTGAAAGCATTTTGGTTCTAAAAACAAATATAATAATAAAAAACTAGTATTATTAATAACTCCAAAAATTTTGTATAATTTAAATTTTAATTTGTTTGTACTATATATACTATAGAATCTACAATAACAGTATTTATAGCATAATCAAGTAGTATAAATATTAAAGATATTAAAAATATCAATAAAGATTCATCTTGAAAAAGAAGTTAAAAGTTTAAATTATTTTTTAAATATTGTTGTACTGATACCAATTGGTTATTGGCTAATTTATATTCTTTTGTAAAAATCTTTTTTGCTTAATAGTAAACTTAATATCAAGTAAGATACAAATATTCAGTAATCTTTTTTTTTTTATTATTTTAATAAAGTTGTAGAACAGTTAATAAGTAATTTTTAGCAATATAATCTTGAATTTGTATTGTAGTTTCTATTGCTTCAAGTAGCAAATAAATATAATAATAAATATTAACAATAATTAGATTATCTTTTTGTTCAATATTTATTCAAATTATATCTTTACAATTATAATATTAAATCCTAGATGCTATATTATGTTAATTTAAAATATTATTAACTTGAAGTTTTTCTTTTTTAAATTTTCTACTATTACAATAATAAATAAATACAACTAAATTTTTTGTTATTTCATACTTATAATAGGTTCAAGAAAAATAATCTGCTTTAGAAATTTGATTAATTAAATAACGAGTAATTTCTTTATTATCTTGTTCTTCTAAACCCATATTAATAATATCTAGTAATAGATTTATTGCAATAAAAAATTTTTTTCAAACAAATAATCTAAACTATAATTAGTTAAAAGCATTTCAAGTAAGTAGTTTACAAGTATTTCTGACAGCTTTCTGATTTTGCAATATAATTTCTTTCAGTTTTTGGTCATTTTTAATTTGTTGTTAAAAAAATTTTTGTTCTACACTTAATACATGTTTTTTTTTTAGCCCTTTTGCATTAGTGTCTATTTTTTAGGCTTTTTTAACATTACAATAATTGCACTTTTCCATAACAAAAAGGCTTATTAACTAAAGATAGTAAAAGTGAAAGTATAATAAACTTTTAATTTTATTATTAATAATATATACAAATTGTATGATGCAAGAATGATGTAAATCACATGGTCTGCAATTTTTTGGGGTGACGATTTAACCCCGTTGTTTAATTCAGCCGTTATTCAACATAATTCTGCCCGGCACCATAAAAAATTTACGGGATTAATGATTGGCTTTCGTCATCATAATGACGTAATAGATTATCAAACCTTAACACATAAAACTGTAAAAGGAAATTAGTTCAATTAATTCGGACAACAATTATCGTTATAACCTTTACAGGAATGGGTACTACCGATAAAACTTCTATAGTGTTTGCTACAATTCTACTTCAGAGTATCCACTCATCACTGTTTCTTGCACTCATGAACTTAACATTTGTCGTAATTGTGTTACGAGACATATCCGGCCTGAAATTCTCAAAGGAAACATTACTATTATTCAGTGTCCCACTACTAATTGTGAAGCAACTCTTAGCTATAATGATATTAAACGATTAGTCCCAAAAGATTTATTTGAGCGGTAATGTATAAGAATTTTAGATCAGTAATTCATATAAATTGTTTCTAAATTTTTTTTTTTTAAGTTATGGGTTATTCTTGTTACGTCATGTGATTCGGCAACTTGAAGATTTCCGTTGGTGTAAGCGTCAAGGTTGTGGATGGGGTCAGGAGCATAGTTCAGGAGGTGATATTATAAAAATAAACGATAAATGTTAAACACATTAAATTTTTAAATATTCACATATTCGATTATTTTTTTTTAGATGAAGAGCCAATCATGACTTGCCATGCATGTACGTTTAAAACATGTTTTACGTGTGATGTACCCTGGCACGAAGGAATCACTTGCGAACAATTTAAAGAAACCCTTGAGAACGATCCCCACGGTGCAGCCAATAAAGCTTATCATGATCAACATACTAAACAATGTCCTAAGTGTGAATGGCCTATAGAGAAGAAAGAAGGGTGTGAACACATGACTTGCATATGTAGATACGAATTTTGTTGGTTGTAAGTGATTATTTATATGGATCTTATTTTTTTTTTTTAGAGAACTTTTTTTTTGATTTTTTTTTTTTTGCCTAATTTTTCAGGTGTTTGTCGGATTATAACCAAATTCGAAAAGATGGAAATCATAGACATAAGCCAACAGTCAACATTATGCACCTTTGGAAGATGAAGAAGATGAGGAAGATGATCTTTATGTTTTATAATTGTTGCTCGAACTATTCATATAGAGGTAGATATATTATCATATTGATTTTATAATTAATAATAATTGTAAATTTAAATATCAATATTAACGATTTATATCTTATATATGTTAGAAAAGAATGCTGTCCAATAATAGATAATCAGATTGATATATTCATTAAACGATTTATTATTCTAAATAATAATAATAATAATAAAAAGCATTCAATTGATCCAATTAATCTTGAATTTATTACAATATTATTGAGCTCTTAATATTACTCTTTAATATCACGATATTCAGCTTCCATAACATTTGGCCCATACTTATTATCTTCGAAATTATTGGTATCTTGTAAAGGAATGTTAATTTCCCGTCCAGTATGTGGCCAAAGTAAACGAATTTCCTTAAACATCACTTCATCGTTATTATCCAAATATCCAGTAGCTTTGACAAATGCACTTTCACCATTCGTTCCAGTTGCAATATATTCAATTGTGACACCATGCATTTTTTGATAATTTCCACGAGAATCTGAAACTGCCAAAGTTTCTGAAATAACAGTTTGAGGATCCGAAAATCTAATCGTTGAAGAATCATAATCACCAAATAAAAATCGAATTTCACTATCGTTATTGCAAGCTACATGAATTTTACTGATTGAAGATGAATATATTTCATAAATTACTTCTTGTGAACGTTTAATTTCACTAGTAATTCCATGAATGGATGAATATATATGCTTCCAAAATGTATTTTCTATTTGGCTCATTTGTGGATATAATGGATGAATGGGTCGTATAGATCGTACGGGTGGCCAAATATAATTTAAAGATCCTTTTACAAGTTTATAAGCACCAAAAGCAAGAGCACCACTTATCACGAGATGCATGGTCGGTTGAAAGATCAAAAAGGTTAAAATAGCTCCGCTTAAAGCTATTAAATCTTTCGTGCGATTATTAGGTGTTGGTAAACTTGTCATAAATCTAGATTTAGTGGATAAACCTCTAAAACTAATCAGGCCATTGTTAACAGATGGACAAGAATTTATGAAGGTTAAATTAGAAATAACTGGAGCGAAAGGGAAATGATTTGTATAATTGCGAATAATTGGAATAACACCATTATTTTGGTGATAAAAATTCTTTGTATTGCTGATTCCTTTTTGACTGCATGATCTAGAAAAGTTCTTGAAAGGAACTACAATTTAGTACAGGGAAATAGACAAATAATAGACTTTAGTATGTTAAAAAAGGTGCTTATAATTTTAAACAAAATGAATAAATAAATTCTACCCTGATTATTAATTCGCGATATTCCTAAAAGTGATTGAAAGCGACGACTATGGTTTTTAATTATATCTAACGTTAATCTATTCATAATTATAGTCAATGCTACACAAGATTAAGTTCTAAATATACACGAGATTCGTAAGATTGGCAGGACCATGATTTTTACAGGATATTATTAAATATACTAAATTTTAGTACAGTATATGGGATCTTTGCTATCAAAATGACCTTCCGAGGCTATGTTGATTTTGTGAATAAAAATTAAATTTGCCAGCCAACTAGTTATCTAATTTGAATGAAAATTTTTTTAATTTGTAGATTCTATTGAAATTTACAAAATAAAAAAGGTTTATTCAAATTGGATTACTTGATAGCTGGCAAATTTAATTTTTATTCACAAAATCAACATAGCCTCGGAGGGTTATTTTGATAGCAAAGATCCCATATACTGTTGACAGCCAAACAATTTTTTTGGTCCAGCAAGTAGCCAATAGCTAAACTTTAGCTAAAAATTCTAATTTATATAATATATATTAGCCATATTACTACAGTATATATATAGATTTTTGGCTATTTTAGCCAAACAATTTTCTTGTTATTGGCCATTAACCAAGTAGCCAAGTGACAATACTACACATACAGTATATATATATATATATTTATTATTTAAAGCAATAACAGATAAGTAAATTAAATTAAACATTAATTTTCAATTAAAATTTTTTTTATCTATTTTAACTATTTTAAAAACTACATATAATAATAAATATATATATATATATATTTTTTTTTATGTTAAAGGTGAGACCTTGCTCTTACGTATCTTTATTAGATTTAACAAAAACCTTTTACATATCCGGAAAATGTTTTATTACTTAAATCTAAGACTAAGAAAAAGAACTCAGACATATATCTAAGTAAACCTAAATACTTAT